GCCTTGGGAAATTCAAAAAAATTGAAATCATTCCAGTCATCTTTTCTGACCACAGTGCAGTAAAATTAGATCTCAATTACAGGAAAAAAATTATTAAAAATTCAAACATATGGAGGCTAAATAACACGTTTCTGAATAACCAACAAATCATAGAAGAAATCAAAAAAGAAATCAAAATATGCATAGAAATGAATGAAAAGGAAAACACAACAACCCAAAACCTATGGGACACTGTAAAAGCAGTGCTAAGGGGAAGGTCCATAGCATTACAGGTTTACCTCAAGAAACAAGAAAAAAGTCAAATAAATAACCTAACTCTATACCTAAAGCAACTAGAGGAGGAAGAAATGAAGAACCCCAGGGTTAGGAGAAGGAAAGAAATCTTAAAAATTAGGGCAAAAATAAATGTAAAAGAAACTAAAGAGACCATAGCAAAAATCAACAAAGCTAAAAGCTGGTTTTTTGAAAAAATAAACAAAACTGACAAACCATTAGCAAGACTCATTAAGAAACAAAGGGAGAAGAACCAAATTAACAAAATTAGAAATGAAAATGGAGAGATCACAACAGACAACACTGAAATACAAAGGATCATGAGAGACTACTACCAGCAGCTCTATGCCAATAAAATGGACAACTTCAAAGAAATGGACAAATTCTTAGAAAAGTGCAACTTTCCAAAACTGAACCAGAAAGAAATAGAAGATCTTAGCAGACCCATCACAAGCAAGGAAATCGAAACTGTAATCAGAAATCTTCCAGCAAACAAAAGCCCAGGACCAGATGGCTTCACAGCTGAATTCTACCAAAAATTTAGAGAAGAGCTAACACCTATCTTACTCAAACACTTGCAGAAAATTGCAGAAGGTAAACTTCCAAACTCATTCTATGAGGCCACCATCACCCTAATTCTAAAACCAGAAAAAGATGCCACAAAAAAAGAAAATTACAGGCCAATATCACTGATGAACCTAGATGCAAAAATCCTTAACAAAATTCTAGCAAACAGAATCCAACAACATATTAAAAAAATCATACATCATGACCAAGTGGGCTTTATCCCAGGAATGCAAGGATTCTTTAATATATGCAAATGAATCAATATAATACACCACATTAACAAATTGAAAGATAAAAACCAAATGATTATCTCAATAGATGCAGAAAAAGCCTTTGACAAAATTTAACATCCATTTATGATTAAAACTCTCCAGAAAGCATGAATAGAAGGAACATACCTCAACATAATAAAAGCTATTTATGACAAACCCACAGCAAGCATTACCCTTAATGGTGAAAAAATGAAAGCATTTCCCCTAAAATCAAGGAACAAGACAAGGGTGCCCACTCTCATCACTACAATTCAACATAGTTTTGGAAGTTTTAGCCACAGCAATCAGAGCAGAAAAAGAAACAAAAGGAATCCAGACTGGAAAAGAAGATGTAAAACTCTCACTGTTTGCAGATGACATGATCCTCTACATAGAAAACCTTAAAGACTCCACCAGAAAATTACTAGAGCTAATCAATGAATATAGTAAAGCTGAAGGATATAAAATTAACACACAGAAGTCCCTTGCATTCTTACACACTAACAATGAGAAAACAGAAGAGAAATTAAGCAAACAATACAATTCACCATTGCAACAAAAAGAATAAAATACTTAGGAGTATATCTACCTAAAGAAACAAAAGACCTATACATAGAAAACTATAAAACACAAGCTACCAATGGTATTTTTCACAGAACTAGAACAAATAATTTCACAATTTGTATGGAAATACAAAAAACCTCGAATGGCCAAAGTAATCTTGAGAAAGAAGAATGGAACTGGAGGAATCAACCTGCCTGACTTCAGACTATACTACAAAGCTACAGTCATCAAAACAGTATGGTACTGGCACAAAGACAGAAATATAGATCAATGGAACAGAATAGAAAGTCCAGAGATAAATCCACAAACCTATGGACACCTTATCTTCGACAAAGGAGGCAAGAATATACAATGGAAAAAAGACAACCTCTTTAACAAGTGGTGCTGGGAAAACTGGTCAACCACAGAAGAAGAATGAAACTAGAACACTTTCTAACACCATACACAAAAATAAACTCAAAATGGTTTAAAGACCTAAATGTAAGACCAGAAACTATAAAACTCCTAGAGGAGGACATAGGCAAAACACTCTCTGACATAAATCACAGCAGGATCCTCTATGACCCACCTCTCAGAATATTGGAAATAAAATCAAAAATAAACAAATGGGACCTAATGAAACTTAAAAGCTTTTGCACAACAAAGGAAACTATAAGCAAGGGGAAAAGACAGCCCTCAGATTGGGAGAAAATAATAGCAAATGAAGCAACAGACAAAGGTTTAATCTCAAAAATATACAAGCAACTCCTGCAGCTCAATTCCAGAAAAATAAATGACCCAATCAAAAAATGGGCCAAAGAACTAAAGAAGACATACAGATGGCTAACAAACACATGAAAAGTAGCTCAAAATGACTCATTATCAGAGAAATGCAAATCAAAACCACAATGAGGTACCATTATACGCCAGTCAGGATGGCTGCTATCCAAAAGTATACAAGCAATAAATGCTGGAGAGGGTGTGGAGAAAAGGGAACCCTCTTACACTCTTGGTGGGAATGCAAACTAGTACAGCTGCTATGGAGAACAGTGTGGAGATTTCTTAAAAAACTGGAAATAGAACTGCCATATGACCCAGCAATCCCACTTCTGGGCGTACACACCAAGGAAACCAGATCTGAAAGAGACACGTGGACCCCAGTGTTCATCGCAGCACCGCTTATAATAGCCAGGACATGGAAGCAACCTAGATGCCCATCAGCAGACGAATGGATAAGGAAGCTGTGGTACATATACACCATGGAATATTACTCAGCCATTAAAAAGAATTCATTTGAATCAGTCTAATGAGATGGATGTAACTGGAGCCCATTATACAGAGTGGAGTAAGCCAGAAAGATAAAGACCAATACAGTATACTAACGCATATATATGGAATTTAGAAAGATGGTAACGATAACCCTATATGCAAAACAGAAAAAGAGACACAGATGTACAGAACAGACTTTTGGACTCTGTGGGAGAAGGCGAGGGTGGGATGTTTAGAGAGAAGAGCATCAAAACATGTATATTATCAAGGGTGAAACAGATCACCAGCCCAGGTTGGATGCATGAGACAGGTGCTCGGGGCTGGTGCACTGGGAAGACCCAGAGGGATCGGGTGGAGAGGGAGCTGGGAGGGGGGATCGGGATGGGGAATAAATGTAAATCCATGGCTGATTCATGTCAATGTATGGCAAAAACCACTACAATATTGTAAAGTAATTAGCCTCCAACTAATAAAAATAAATGGAAAAAAAAAAACTGAAGCGATTCGGGACTTTCCTTGGTAGTGCCAGTGGATCAGAACCCACCTGCCAATGAAGGGGACACAGGTTTAGTTCCCTGTCCGGGAAGATTCCACATGCCAGGGGGCAACTAAGTCCATGTAGCACAACTACTGAGCCTGCACTCTAGAGCCTGGTGCCCAAACCACTGAGGCCCATGCACCTGGACCTTGTGCTCTGCAGCAAGAGAAGCCACTGCAATGAGCAGTCTTAACACCACAGTGAAGAGTAGTCCCTACTGGCCGCACCTAGAGAAAGTCCGAGCAAAGCAATGAAGACCCAACCCAGCGCAGTCAAAAAATTAACAATTAAAAAACATAGGAATAAAATTGAGGACATCTTAAATAAATAATGGAACATAAGTTAATGGAGGGTAGGCCATTTTATCCATTAGAAACTTAATAAAGAATTTCAATTCCTCAATTTTAACTATCTTTATATTCAATATAAGGCTGCTGTAGAAGCTTTTTTAAGGAAACTAACAAGGTAATTTTAATAGAAATGAATATAGCCAAGAAGAGACCTGGTCATCCTGAAGAAGACCAGAGCTAGAGCATTTACACTGATGTGAACGAAAGAAATCAGACACAACAGAGTACCTAGCATATGACATACATTTCAGAAACAAACAACACTAATCTTCCATGTTAGGATAGTAGTGACCTGTAAAGGAGGGTAGTATTTGGCAGAGGGCCTGGGTAGGGCTTCTAAGATACTGCTAATGTTCTTCTTGACTTGGTGGTGGTTGCACAGATGTGTCTATTTTATGAGAATTTATTGAACCGTGCACATAGGTTTTGTATGCTTTTTCATATGTAGGTTTGACTTAACTACAAAGTTGACTTTAAAAAATAGTTATCTCAGAGATTCTCAGAATCAGCTGGTTCTGGGAATCAGCCAGTTACAAGGGCATAGCCCTGTGCACTCTGAGTGTGATGTACCAGGCAGCCCTTATCTGACCCTACTAGAAGTCAGATGAAAGAGGAGATGGAGACATTCCATAACTAACATCAGTAACAGTGCTGCCAGTACCCTGCCAACTGTGGATCACATCATACTTGCTGAGCTTTCTCTTCCTTTCTTCATGCCCTTGAACTGCAACCTGTGCCTGGGACTCCCTCTTGCCTGTGCCCTCAGGAGAGCTCTTTGAGGTGTGACCTTAATCATAGAATCTCCATGTCCTGGTTTACAATTTGATAGAATGCAGACTCAAGACTGACACCACGATCTTGCTCTCAGCATTTGTGAAGACTTGTGTAAAACTGATCATGAGGCCTTGACTGTGTTACCCAGGTTCTCTCGACCACCTGCTCCCTCAGGGTTCTCCCTGACTTATACTGACTCCCAAGCCAACCATAACAAAGGACCCTTGGTCTTAGATAAGGTTCAAATGAATACAGTCCAGCAGAAGACCCATCTTAGTGAGGATCCAGAGGTTCAGCTGAAATGTGAACCTATAGATTTCTAAGAGGCTGAAATGGATGGATATTTTTAGTATAGTCTTTTGTCCTCTCTTCACAGATTTCCCCCCAGTGCCGAAAGAAATTGATCTCAGGGCTCTTTCTGAGACTCCTACTTACATGAAGCCATGACATGTTCCTGTGGTAATTTTCCTCCACGCCGGCTGCACTCATGCCCTCGGGCTCAATGCTGGGCTCACTTGCACTCCAAGGACTCCCTTCTTCAAAAGAAAAACACCAAGAAAGGTTGTACTGTTCTGTCTCCCTGGAGAGCACATTGCTATGGTATCATGGTCCATGCTTTTGAATCCTAGGGCACACTACCATGGCCAATGGGTTACAGGGCATAGCATTGACTTTACTAGAGAAATATTAATAGGAGCTGTTCCCTTTACCACCAGCTGAACCAGCAATTACAAAGACACTTATGATCTCTGTTACAGTGGCTTCCATTTTGAGACATGGGAGCAAAGAAAAAAAAAACACAGAGTCAAGTCCTTGAATTGCTGAGATGAGCAAGTTATTGGTTGAGTGTGCCCAAACCCATTCGAGACTGCCCAGACCTCGCAGGTGTAGGTAAGTAGGGACACCAGCCAACCTGCAGTGGCCACAAAAAGTGCTGCCACCTCCACTGGGACTGTGACCACTGCTAGTGATACTGCTCTTCACACCAGCTGGCTTTGCTATCAGAGCTACTTCAAAGATGGGTGGTGCCTCAGAAAAACGAAGGGAATTTGGAAGTAATTGTGCCCAGTTGGGGATAACTCTTTGTCCAAGTTCCTCTCTAAAGGAGACATGTCACAGGAATTCTTAGTATACCAGATATACTAGATAGTATACTTAATATACTAGACAACAAAGCTTTACGCTCCAACCTACCAGCTTTTCTGGGTATTCTCTATGAAAAAACTATGCCTCTAGCTTGGACAGTTTGACTTTACTGGTTAGGCTAAAAGGACCAATTTAAATAATTAATTCAAATAATATTTTCCTCCAGGCTAACTGATGATACTGTTACAGCTCAGATCTGTAACTAAAGATGGCATGAGGCTTTTTTTCTATTATGTTCTTGAAAAATAGGCTGAATCTCAACTAATGCATAAATTAGCTATTTTCAAAGGGAAGGGTGGGTAGGTGTAGAAACATTTTCTATTTTAAACTCTCTTTGATTAAAGATACTCAGCTCCTATTTCAGCAGGCTAAATCAATAATTTATCCACATTCCCTGGATAAAGAAAGAAAGAAAAAGAAAGTTAAGTCGCTCAGTCGTGTCCGACTCTTTGCGACCCCGTGGACTGTAACCCACCAAGCTCCTCCATCCATGGAATTCTCCAGGCAAGAATACTGGAGTGGGTTGCCATTTCCTTCTCCAGGGGATCTTCCTGACCCGGATCGAACCCAGGTCTCCCGCATTGCAGGCAGACGCTTTAACCTCTGAGCCACCAGGGAAGCCCTGGAATACTTCTAACTAACTTCTGAAATAACTTACTTTTAAAGTAGAGCTTTCCATTTTGGTTTTCACACAGGGACTGAATGGCAAAGAATATGTACTTCAATTTTTACCTAACAAACTCTGGTGAGTCCTACTGGCATGATCATTTAATCTTTTTCTTGTCTCTTATGATGATCAGAGCCCATAGGACTAACACATTTTGGGATTCACAGTCTCTTTGGGTCCTAAGGTGACAGTCTATAACTCTAATACTCTGATTGTATATAAGTCTGATTCTCAGGAGCTTGACATACTTTATAATCATTCCTAATTTATCTTTAGAGCATCTTTTCACTGTGGGTAAGGAGCACACAGAATTATTCTTATTGGGTAACTGGGGAAAACAAATTCCCAAGAAGTTAAGTGACTTGCTGAAGGTCACTAGTCATTAGGTGTAGACAATCTTTCCTTTCTAAAATGTTGGTTGTTTTCACTGAGAAAGAGAGTTTATTTTACAGAGTACATTAAGTCAGCTTAACATCAAGGGAATGTCTACATTTTGCTTTAAAGGTCCTGTTCAGGAGTATAAAGGCATAAAGCATTTGGATCTCAAAAAAAAAAAAAAAAAAAATCTGTCGTTGTCACTAAAGTATCTTCTTTCCCTACTGTAGACTTTATATCCTCCCTGCTCAAGCCGCGGTCCTTGAACCAGCAGCATCAGCGTCACCAGAAAGCTTGTTACAAGGGTAGACTCTCAGCCTCCTATTTCAGAGATGCTGAATCAGATTGTGTTTTACCAGGCTCCCAGCTGACGCTGTGCGCAGTAAGGCTGGAGCAGCCCTACTCTGGATGGCGACATCCTTTACAGAGCCCGTGGGCCCTCTCACCTACAGCGCCGCCCTCCGGCTGGGGGCGGAAATGGGCCTGAGCTGTACGGGTTCGGGCTCTGCCTTCCTGCCCCCCACGTCCCTGCGCACGCCCACTCCTCTATGTTACCTAGGTCAGTGACAGTGTCCCTGCTCTGGGACGGCTGCAGCTCCTCAGCCTCAGACTCTGAGTCCTGCCGTGATAACTTGCTGCTCTTTAAGCTGCCGACCCGGCGAATGCTGGACAAGGAACCCCCCTTCTTCACCTGGAAACTGCGGGTTCCTTTAATCTGGAGCAGGCGGGAACCTCCTATCCTGATCTTCCTGCTGGGAACTGTATTAAAAGAATAAAATAGGGCTTTTTCCCCCTTAGTTCTCCCCAGTCAGCATCAGAGCCAAGCTCTCCCCAACTTTGTCACTGAACAACCTCTTCTCTGCTGGTCTGGACAAGGAGCTTCTCCCACGCGCCCAGCCAGGCAGCTTTGTTGGACGGGCAGGAGGCTGGGTCCACCAGGAAAGGCTGGTGCAGCTTCTTTCTTGGACACACAGCTCATCGGTGCTGGGAACAACCTGCTCTCTCTCTCTGGCCCAGAATTCACAAGCATGAGCGCGCCCTCACCACGGAGTCCTCCAGGACCGTTAGCATGTTCACACAGCATCATTGCTTGATTTCACGGAAGGATCAGTCATGTGTTTTTGTCTTTTGAAATGGGACAGACAGATTTATGTGAGTTTGGGAAACCCCTTCATGGGAAACCCTTTCATTTGGGAATACCTCATTAAGAAATAAAAACAACAGTTGCTTCACTCTCCAACCATCAGCAGTGGGGTCCGCTCAGCTCCTCAGCAAAGGCACTAAAGGATCTGTTTTCAGTGGGGTGCTCTGGGTGAACACGAGTGTGAAATGGTTCCATTTTCAATGCGCCTAGTGATTACTCCTCTTAGTCAAAAGGTTGGGTGAGATATGAGTCCAAAGGTTGCAACACCCTGCGCCAACTTTAGTCTACATATACCAAGAAGAACATGCATTACTCCTTTTTAGTGTTCTGGAAGAAACAGTCATCAGTGAGGAAAATTAAAGGCTCAAAGAAACACGTTCAGCTAGAAACCTACTTTTTAATCAAAAGCATCCTTATGTCCCATAGTCACATCCACACCCCCTTCCTTTTCCTTTGAAGATCTGGGATTGTCACATACTGATACCGTAAGGGTGATTCTGAAAGTTTTCAGGGCTTCAAGTGATACTCAGGAAGGGGTGGTTTTTTTAAGTTTTCCTTCTTAAGACATGATCAAGATATCTTACTAATTATGCAAGACACAGCTATTAATATTTTAGTCCCAATCAGGAAAATTGCATTTTAGTCTCAAGTTTCTCACCCATAGGAGAGTTAGTCTGTGACTACGATAGAAGCTTGTACCACTCCATAAAATGTTAATTAAGTATACACTTTTAGTGACATTTAAAGGAGCCTAGAAGAAATCCTGTTGAATCATGTGAAATGTTTAATCTCTAATTTATACCCATGATTGAGAAAGACTAAAATTATCACCACTCAGCTGGCAATGGCTTCATGGAGCTCCCTGAACACATCTGGATAGAATTTCACATCCAGACAGAAGTTCTTGCAGCACAGTTGAATACGTTCCACAAAGACCATAATGCTCAATTTTAGTAATAGCACAAACTCATCCACTGTATTTTTCAGTATTATTTTTAGGCACAATTGAGACTTTATGACTTATCTGAAATGCATTTGAAACAGAATATAGTTATTTTTAAAGACTATTAATACAATTATGTCAAAATAGACTGGGAAGTAGACAAAAAGATTAAAGAAAGAATTTAAAAATTTTACAGAGGCACACTTTGGCATTCTTTGTCTGATTTCATGAGATTTTTCTGCTTACAAACACAGTACAGTAACCCCAATTTAATATGATGCAAAAAAATTTAACTTTGAGAACCCTGTTCTACTACCAAAGATAATTGGAAATATCATATAACTCTGAAAAAATAATATTCAGAATTATGGCATTGGTTATTTACAAAGGACATATTTGTTAGGATTCAGATTTGGTAAAGTACATCCATGACAATGAGAACTAGTATTAAAGAAACAAATTCATCTATATTGGATAAAACATTGCTTTTTCCTTTTCTCTAACACCACATTTATTCTCTAACACCACCACATATTAGCAAGTCCTGCTGATGCAACACTTCCAAATATAGGATTTTGAAAGCTCCATCACCTATTCCCTGGACTAATACAACCAACAAACTGTACTCTCTTACCCTACTCCTACAGTTTGAATCATCTTTTAAATACATAATCATAAATACAAATATTATATCATTTTTCTGGTCAAAATCTCCCAACAACTATCAGACACATTTAAATAGAATTAAATTTCTAACCATATTTGCAGACCCTATTTATCTGATCTTTGCTCAACCCCATCTTTAACACTTCCTCCAACTCATTCTGTGGCAGCCATGTTGGCCTCCTTGCCTTTCTTCACATGCTCCCATGTTCCTGCATCAGAGCCTTGTGCTCACTGTTGTCTCTGGAAGACTTTCCTCTCAGCCCTCAGCCTGACTGGACTCTTCACACCATGCAAGTCTCAAGCCAATGTCACTTGTGACTGGAATCCCTCCTCCTCCAGGTCACTACCAACTCTCTGACACCAACTTGATTTCTTCATACTATTTATCTCTACTTGAAAGTCCAGAATTTAATGTTATTCATTATTAGCTAATCTAAACTAAAATATACATGGAACATTTTCCCTGTTTATTGCTGTATTCTAGGAATCTGTAATAATGCCTGGTACACAGCAGTACATGATTATTGAGGAATCACACAAGTCTTGGTATCTGTATTCTGGAAAGCCAGTCTTAGTTTGTATCTGGAATATGGATAAAATGATATCAGATCTTGCTCGGAGATTTTAGGTAAGATATTTTTCATTCTAAGAATGATTTCATATTAGTTTTTCTTTGTAGAATCCAACTGTCCTCAGGTTGTTTATTTCAAGAACTGACATTTTTAGATGTTATACAAACAGATGGTATGAAACTTTAAATAAAATTTTAATAATCTGAGTTAGCAGGGTCCCTGCGGTCCCCATTTTCACATCAGCTTTAGCATCTGGTATCAGCTTGTTAAAAGGATTAAGGAGTATTTAGGAATCTTTGAGAAGTTTCTTGCCAACTGGTAAAGGACATTTTATGAATATGTTCTCATTTTATTTATACTTCTAGCTTTCTGTTCTTAATTTATTAAATAGCTTCATATAATCCCATAGCTATTTTAGGAGAAGAAAAATGTTTGTGCATTTGAACATTAAAGGCAATTTACATAAATTATAATCATGATTAGTGTTTTTAAAAATAAACCTGAGGTTTTATTTCTTAAAATGATATAGAATTTACTCTGCTGAAATGTAACCATGTCAGTATTAACGCTTTTTGCTTCAACTACTTTAAATAATAAGTAACATAATAATTTTGAGTGGGGAAAAAAGTCCCTGTAGGATATGTTTAAAATACGTAAGTTTCACAGAAACAGAATCATGGATATTGAGAACAGACTGGTGGTTTCCAAGGGAGAAGGAGTTGGGGGAGGGGTGGAATGAGAGGCTGGGGTTAGCAGATATAAACTTTTACATATCAAATGGATAAACACCAAGGTCTTTGTATACCACAGAGAACTATATTCAATATTCTGTGATAAACCATAGTGGAAAAGAATATTAAAAAAATGTATATATATATGTCTAACTAAACCACTTTGCTATATAATAGAAACACAACATTGTAAAGCAACTATACTTCAATTTTTAAAAAGTGATAAAAAAAGATGGAAGTTTCTCATCATATGCAGTCCTCTTTGTCAGAAGTATTTGAACAAACCTTGACTTGATACTTCTTACTATCAGAAATTGATAAAAATTGATTAATTCTTCCTGCAACATGGCTTCTGTTCACCATAAATTCAACACAATATATTTACATTTTTAAATGTTGTGACAACAATCTGATCTGAAATATTAAAAAGATTTTTTTTTCAGAATATACCCACTCTTTACAAAGTTTTAAATATTTTAAACATGCTGTGTTTTATTTATTTAGGGCTATACTTTTTCAGAGTTTTTTCATTATAGGTTATTACAAGATGCTGAGTATACATCCCTATGCTATACAGTAGATCCTGTTGTTTATTTTATATATAGTAGTACCTCCTCCTGCCCCACCCCCTGCTATCCTCTTTGGTAGCCACAAATTTGCCTTCTATGTCTGTGAGTTTATTTCTGTTTTGTAAAAAAATTCATCTGTATCATATTTTAAAATTTCACATATAAGTGATACCTTATGATATTTGTCTTTATCTTCACTTAATATGCTAATATCTAGGTCCATCCATGTTGCTACAAATAGCATTATTTCATTCTCTTTTATATGACTAATATTCAATTGTATGTATATGTATGTGTATATACATATCACATCTTCTTTATCCATTCATTTGTCGATAGACATTTAGATTACTTCCATATCTTGGCTATTGTAAATAGTGCTGCAGTGAACACTGGGGTGCATGTATCTTTTCTAATTAGTTTTCTCCAGATTTACGTCCCAGAATGGAATTGCTGGATCCTATGTTAACGATTTTCAGTTTTTAATGACCCTCCATATGGTTCTTCATTGTAGCTGCACCAATTTTCATTCTCACCAACAATGTAGGAAGTTCTTTTTTCTCCACACTCTAGTGTTTATCTGTAGACTTTTAATGATGACCATTCTGACTCACATGAGGTGATACCTCATTGCAGTTTTGATTTGCATTTCTCAAATAATTAGTGACATTGAACATCTTTCTATGTGCCTGTTGGCAAGGTCTTCTTTGGCGAAATGTCTGTTTAGGTCTTCTGTAGGGCTATTTCTTTTGAGAATCATGTATTCCTTGAACTACCAAACATTTATGGAGTCACTGACTACAGAAAATATACCAGTGGAGAAAACTGTCTTTGACTCTTTTTACAAATATGCTGATATTCATTTAATGGAAATTTGTTAGAAAAACACTGAAGGGCAATAAAATTTAAGAAATACAAAAATCAGAGAAGTTAACAGTTTAAAGGAGGCTTTAAAGAGCAACTTAAAACTTTGCAATCTTCAACTCATATTTAGGATTTTCTGCATGGGTTCTGATCTATATGCTCATAATACATATTTTTAAAAAACCGATGATGATTATTTATTATCTCCTAGTTAGAGACTGTGTCCTTATTGAGTTTACGTTTTACTTGCATTGTTCATTTAAGTTAAAGTGAAAGTCACTCAGTCGTGTCGGACTCTTTGTGACCCCATGGAATTCTCCAGGCCAGAATCCTGGAGTGGGTAGCCTTTTCCTTCTCCAGGGAATCTTCCCAACCCAGGGATCGAACCCAGGTCTCCCGCACTGCAGGCAGATTCTTTACCCACTGAGACATTAGGGAAGCCCAAGAATACTGGTGTGGGTAGCCCATCCCTTCTCCAGGGGATCTTCCCAACACAGGGATTGAACTGGGGTCTTCTGCATTGCAGGTGGATTCTTTACTAACTGAACTATTGGGGAAGCCCATTGTTCATTTAAACTCTCAACATTCCGAAGTAGTAGGTGTTAATAATCTAATTTTACAGAGAAGAAAACTGGTTTAGCAGCTAAACTTGGACAAGGTCACATGATTAGTTACTCTATTTCACCGTTTTAAGATGCACTTTTTTTTTTTTTTAACATTTGAACATCTCTGAAATTGAGATTTGGCTTACAATTGATGCCATCTTAAGATATCACTAGAGCCAGGTGGCACTTGTGACACATTTGCTATTGCTTGTGTTCATGTGAGTGTCTAAAGCACCAGCAACAAAATGTACAAAATGGGTGCCAGTGTCTTTTAAGTCTCAGGAGCTGAATGATAGTTGGGTGAAAGAGTGGCTGAGGTGGTAAGTCATGCGTGTTCAGCAACATTCCTGAAGCAGGAATTGAAGGTAGTCTAGCTTCATACAATTGCACGTTGGCTTATGTAACAAGCACCAATAGCTTTATAGATTCCTTTAAGAAATGATGTATTACTAACATTCTGATGACACAGAGGACATTATCACACATAAAAATACAGACAGTGACAATTTTGAGTTGAAAAGTGATTAAGAATTTGAACTCTGAATTGAAGATAGTTTAGGAAAACTAATTAGTTTACTTTCCTGCAGAGAGAATCATATGGACTGTAATTAATCTATATTAATTACGTCTGAAAGTCTTCTTTCAATAAGAATAGAACACAAATTAATTGATAAGAAAGCATTGTGTAAGAGCTGAAAGGGGAGCACTTTTCCTTTGTTATTGGTGTATAAAATAACGGTTCATTTTACAACTAATGGCACCTATATTCAATGGGGTATGGAGAGATGCTGAGCTAGAATTAGAACCTCTCTGACTGCAGAGTTCAACTCCTAACTGGCATGATTACCTAGTTGAGTGAACACTGAGTGAACACTGTTAGTGCTGTATGGAGCCAACAATTTGGATTTCTTTCCATGCACAATTCTGCAGTTTAGACCCAGACCAAATATCCCTTGAGAAACCCAGAAACATGAATTAATTTTTGCTTTATCCATACCTTTCTTCTCTTCAACACCTGCATCTGATTTGAGGGTGTGGCTACTACTGTGAAGGGAATCTTTTGAGTCTTCATTTTCATCCAGGACACCAGCAAAGCTGATCTTCCTTTCATATCTGTGCCGGTCCAATTCAGGGTCCAAACGAAGTCTGCAGCTCTCCAAGTCCTGCAATGTCAGTGGGGAGCATGTGAATGATGGCATCTCCCCAGCACTGCATTGGTCTTCTGGCAAACCTCACTCCATTTTGAATAGCGTACACGGCATTTAAATAGCCAATTTACATCTACCTTATGCCAGTTTCAGACTGCAGCCATGAAAACATTTTCCTTAATCCACAGGTTAAGGATTCAATTGCAAGCCCAGGTTGTTACCTGTGCTTCTGACCAACTGGTTATAAATTGAAGGTTCCAACAACACCCCTCCTCAGTTCAGTTAATTTGCTAGAGGTGGTAACAGAACCCAGAGAAATATTTTGCCGACTAGATCATTGGTTTATCATAAAAAAAAAATAGAGTCATCAATAGTTAGATGGAAGCAATGCACAGGGCAAGGAATGGGGGGAGGGTAACCAAGTTTCCAAGTCCTCCAAGGCCACCGTTCTCCCCAGTCATCACATGTTCACTAACCGGAAGCTCTCTGAATGCTGTCCTTTTGGGTTTTTATGGAGGTTTCATTAAACAGGCATGACTGATTAAATCATTGTCACCTAGAGGTGAGGGGAGTGGTACTGAAATTTTCATTTTTCTAATCACTCGGTGTCCAGCTGATCCTTGGGTAATCTAGAGACATACCACAAGTCACCTCATTAAGACACCTTGGTCACCCTCCTTAAGAAATTCCAAGGGTTTTAGGAACACTGTGCAAGAAACACAGATGAAGACCAAATATAAATTTTTTTTATTACATATCACCATATCCCAGAACAGAAACAGAAAACAAATACCAAGGTGATGTTGGAATTCAGTCCTAAGGATTAAGTAAAATTTGCTCAGCAAACAGGTAGGAAAAGGCAGTTCTGGCTTAAGAAACCTCATGTATGATGGCCAGAGGCACAGAACAGGATCAGACAATGGGAGAATCTCTCCTTCTCTTTTAGGAAGATTTCAAATATAAGAGGGGTTCCTTTACCATCCGCTTATGAACAAAATGATCCCATAGCCGAAAGTAGGGAATGTAAGTATTTAGTAGGAGTTAAATCTGTGAGGTGAGCATGGACATTTGATTTGTTCTATGAATGGAGACTCACTCATGCTGAAGATCATATTTAATCATTAATCTGTAAAACACTTTCAGACCTGATAAATGAAAAATATATAAAATGCTAACCTTATTTTTATAGTGATTTTTTTCTAATTATGACACAATAAGCCCTTGGATTCAAGTAGCTTGAAAAACAAAAGATGTTTCGAAAAACCCAGTTTGTACTGAGATTAAAACCTTAAACTTTTAACTGCTGTTAGTAAATGAAACTGTTAGACTCTATAGTTTCTTTTCCCTTTGAATTAAGAACAGAAGTTACCCTTTGGTATTCAGAAAATTGGATCACACCTAGAAGAAAGAAGGAACCACATGGAGTCTATTTAACTTTGTCAAAAAATGTTCTAGGAATATAACTGCTCCTCTGAAATTAATCCTTTTTAGGAAAAAGAAAACAACCTAACTACTTTCCAGTTTGGCAGCCAAATTTAATTAGATAAGCTTATTAGTTGAGACAAAAAGTAATAACAATTCTGATTCTCTAAAGTAGTTATTTCTTCCAACTTCTTGTATCTACTAGTCAAAACCCTACTTATCTTTCAAAGCTGTATTCATATATGACCTCTCTTTTTTTTTCCATTTATTTTTATTAGTTGAGGCTAATTACTTTACAATATTGTAAATCCATGGCTGATTCATGTCAATGTATGACAAAAATCATATATGATCTCTTTCAGGAAGGTCCTTCAGATTTTTCCAGGCCCTCCTTTGGCCGGCGTGGGCCCTCTGCTCCTTTCCTGTGTGTTGTTCCTGTGGTGGTTCTCCTGTTACAGCTTATTCATCTCTGCATCACCCTCACTCCCACCTCTGCACCCTTTATACCACCCTTTCTCATAGCCTTATTCTCAAATATTCACATCTACTCTTCAAATATGAATGTGAATTGTGTTTCGCTTCTGATCGGGCTTCCCTGGTGGCTTAGCTGGTAAAGAATCTGCCTGTAATGTGGGAAACCTGAGTTCGATCCCTGGGTTGGGAAGATCCCCTGGAGAAGGGAAAGGTTACCCACTCCAGTATTCTGCCCTGGAGAATTCCATGGACTGTATAGTCCATGGGGTCGCAAAGAGTTGGACACAACTGAGAGACTTTCACTCTGATTGTTTAATTTTAGGAGCATTTGGGATCCAGTGGTGTATTCTTTATAATGTGACTTGTTAAATCCCACTGGTACCATTGGTACAGTTTCTAGCACAATCTTGTACAAAAGCATTTGATATGTTGTCCTCCATAATGAATGAACATAGATGTAAAGAGACTTCTCTATGGTCTTTTTCTTTGTTATTAAGCATCATCTAGGCATCCAATGGGAATTAATTTAATTCCATGCTGCTTGGTCATCAGTTATTGGTTTCATCAACTCAACAGGGAAACATTTTAATAGATCTGCAGTTTTATAGACAAAACTCTCTAAAAAATATTTGTGTTTTCAAGTTTGGAAGTTAATCACTACTTGAAGAAAAATGGCTTATTATGCTTTTTTAGATGATAAATCTTGTTAAAATGCTGCTTTTCCCCTTTTCTAGATATTCTTTATGTGTATGGTTTACAAAAAGAGAGAATAAAAATGCTACCAGAAGTCATTTTTGGGGGAGAAACAAGTAACTAAGTTCCATCTAGGGATGTAGATGGAAAAAATATGTTAAGTTGGTAAAAATATTTTTTTAGCTGATATTAATTTTCCTTTTTACTTACCTCCATGCCCCACTATCCAGTGAGTGACCTCCTGAGATTGCCTAGCTCTATCAAATTAACTTTGATTTATTGTATTTTAGGCTCTTTGGCCTTCTCTTCCTCGTGTGTGCTAGATACTGTCCGACTCTTTGCGACCCCATGGATGGTAACCTGCCAACTCCTCTGTTCATAGGATTCTCCAGACAAGAATATAGACAGGGTTGCCATGTCTTCCTCCAGCGGATCTTCCCAACCCAAGGATCGAACTTGAATCTCTTATGTCTCCTGCTTTGTAAGGCAGATTCTTTACCACTAACACCAGCTGGGAAGCCCCTTTCTCTTGCACACTTCGGATATAACCAGGACTTTTTCAAACAAACAAATATTTCATAGGGAAATGATCTTATGACATTTCTATCAGAAAGACTTTCTTGGTAGAAAGTTTATGCTCCCTATCTTGCCCCCTCCTCAAGTCTCAGATACTAGAATATTTATAGTTTCTAATGTGATTATTTTTCTGGCTTATACTTTTATTATTCTGGACATTCAAGTAGCTATTTATTTTTACTGCTGTTAAAAATGTTACTCAGTTAATAAAATATCCCCCAAATCTATAAGTACTCTTACAGAAAGTGTTTTGTTAAAACTTTAGGATATTTCATTTTAATGGTATTTATGCTTAGCCTGTTAGATTCACTGTTTTGTGCAACTTCTTAAAAAACCTATTTCAAGCATTTATAGCTTCTGGTTTTATGATACTGTTTTTTCTGTAATAGTTAACAATGTGATTCAAGTTTTCTTTATCATTAAGTATAGTTACATAAATTAAGCATGAGCTCTTTCCCATTTTCCAAAGGTCACATCGCCCAAAATTTATGAACCTATACTTGACAATAAAAGTTATAGTTCAATGAACAAAAGATTTGTGAGACCTAGTTAAAGGCAATGAAAAATTTCCTCTTATTGATTGAATAACTGCAGCCTCTGTTTTAGTTTAATTTTTTGGCATTTTCTACTAGATAGCCAGTTGATTTTACAGTCATTTTTTAAAGACTTGATTAATTTTTTTTAAAAAGAAATTTGTTACAATAATAAGGAACATTAAACTATAGCTTTAAAGTGTTTAAAGAAAGAACAAAAATAACTGAATCAAACTTTAAGGTTCTTATTTTTTTTAAATCACTATAAGTCAAAATGGTGACCTTTAAAAATCTGAAAATTTGAACTTCCTCGTGGTCCAGTGGCTAAGACTCCATACACCCAGCACAGGGGGCCCAAGTTCAATCCCTGGTCAGGGAACTGGATCCCACATGCTGTAACTAAGAGTTTGCTTGCCACACCTAAATATCCTGCATGCTATAACTAAGACCTGGCACAGCCAAATAAATATTAAAAAATAAATAAAAAATTAAAATCTGAAAATTTAACAGATGTGTTTCTGAGCTTTTATGAAGAATTCAGTATAACTAGAATATTGATGTGAATAACACTCACAGAGACCTACAGATTAACCTTGACTTAAACATGTTTAAATGGCAGACTTGATTTTCTTGAGTAGTCTCAATATAATAGTGAAGGTGACAATTCAGAAAAATAAAGGTTCAGGATAATATGAAATTAAATAAGGGCAGTAGGAGGAACTCCATTTCGTAGTACTTAAATGGTGCAGTTTCACAGTCCAAATGTGGACACGTTTCTCTTGAAAACATATTTTACCTACAAAGAGTTCCATTTTAAGTTTTAGAGTGTGAGGAAATGGGCTGTGCAGACACTGGAAAATCAGAGTTAGAGTAACAACTAAGGAATACCAGAGCACTGACTTTTTGGTTCCATTCCTCATGCCAACCTCCAACCCCCCAGGACTGCAGTAGGGTCTTGCTGAGATTGGTCAAAACAGCAGGAGAGTTGGCACACTGTAAAATTCACCTAAATGGAAGCACATAGATTATTAGTGTACCAGTTTCTCTGGTAGTGTAAATTTTGTATAAAGGGGAGAAAAAAAAGAATTTGTCTGCTTCCTCAGCTCTCGTCAGGTAAGGCCTATAATAAAAGAACCACTGGAAACATGGTGCCCATTAGAGAACAAAGGGCCAAAAAAATTGGCTTTGAGATGGACCTCTGTCCAAAGTGCTTTGTGATGACTCCTGGCTCTTGCTAGAATTTGCATCTTAAGTTAAAAAAAATCAGGCCCTGATGGCATACAAGTATGTCTTTATGTATGCCTGCCTGTGTGTCTTTGTGTTTCTGTGCACACATGTGTGTGTGCATGTGCATGTGTGTGTGTGTGCATGCACACATGGTCTTTTTCTGCCTATCTGTATCCATAAGAAATGCTGCAGGAATAAAATATTTGTTCAGAGACATTTACATGCTAAAGACTTGAGTCTTTTCATTCATAATTTAAATGAGAAAATTCACTGGAAGCACATAAATTTATGAATTGTTAGTATGGTTTTTCCAGTGGTCATGTATGGATGTGAGAGTTGGACTATAAAGAAAGCTGAGCACCAAAGAATTGACACTTTTGAACTGTGGTGTTGGAGAAGACTCTTGAGAGTCCCTTGGACTGCAAGGAGATCCAACCAGTCCATCCTAAAGGAAATCAGTCCTAAATATTCACTGGAAGGACTTATGCTTAAGCTGAAACTCCAATACTTTGACCACCTGATGCAAAGAACTGACTCACTAGAAAAGACCCTGATGCTGGGAAAGATTGAAGGCAGGAGGAGAAGGGGATGACAGAGGATGAGATGGTTGGATGGCATCACTGACTCAGTGAACAGGAGTTTGAGTAAACTCTGGAAGTTGGTGATGGACAGGGAATCCGGACGTGCTGCTGTCCATGGGGTTGCAAAGAGTCAGACATGACTGAGCAACCAAACTGAACTGAGTATGAAAAAACAAACCTATCAGTGATTTCTGGAAAATGCTGGCTGTAAAACTCCTCACAGTTTGCAGAATAAAGGAACGTAGAAAGGTTCTTAGACATTCCTAGGTTAACTGACAGTGATCAATTAGATATTACCCAGTGGTGCAGTCTTTGTGATTTTAAAGTCAATTTTCAGTTTTTTAATAGATAAAGAGAGATTTTCTTTTTATATATGAAAATCCCTTGGTTGAACTTTTAACCTATATGATACATTTGTTCATTGGACATTTGAGGAAATTGTGACTACTGAAAACCAAGCCACCTGGCTGGATTCTCCAAGTAGCGTCATTATTAATAAGCTTCACTAACCATCAGAGGCTCAGTGCGTGGTCTGGGCAGACATGAAAAGGTCTCTCGTAGGAAGGTGGTAATCTCCAGGAGAAGCTGGCAGGCTGCCATCTTCAAGGCAAAGGGGCAGCCACATTTAGAGGGGTTCACAGTACCTATGGAAGGAAAGAGTTCTTTCATAAGCAAACAACCAATAAAAAATACAGAGGCACGCTTTGATGGACATAGCTACACATGTGTAAAATCAAATTGTATATGAGAATGTTACCTATCCATGTGCAAAATGAAACTGTAAATGAGGATGTCACCTGTATATGTTCAATTTACCTGGTCCTTTTACCATAATCTATACATCACAATATACCTCTTTTCCCCTCCATTTTGCAATTCTATAACAAATACCTCAGTATTAAAATGTCAATCAGTAAGAATTATTTCCCTTAAGGCATTATAGAGAAACTAAATGTAGCTCCACTAGGCCGGAAAGCCTTTTAATGAAAACAAAAACAGAAAGCAGCATTGCCAGATTTTCACATAGCTATTCAATCTTATACACGGTATAGGGCTGTGAGTAGATTTGTAACTACGAAAGTCCTGTCAGCTTACTTTGTAAGAGATATCTGTCTTAATGTTCTTAGGGCAGTGAAGTCGTTTCAGCTTTAGCCCAGATGTGTTTCTGTAGCATAAACAAGACTTATTTACTTGATCACCCATGTTATACAGTTTATACAAGCTAGCCTGTCATATTAAGGAATAGCTATACTAGAATATGCAAATATTCTCCTTTGCTTTGAAGAATACCAGTCTCTGAATGAGTTAAACATTGTAACCACCATAGACCAACAAATGGATTTTGTTATAAAGGCAGATAATGGCCAAGGTAACACTATAGAGACTTAAATCCTCAGGATTAGTTCTCAGATACATGACATCACAAATAATGGAGAAATATATTGATTACTTATCAGTGTTCAGAAAAGAAGACAAAGACATGTCTCCCATAGAAGAAAATAGTTCAAATGAATCAACTTATCAAGCAATATCTATATCATTACATATTAACCTTCCTAAAAAATCTTTAAATAGCTCTAAAATATTTCCTGTGTATTTGGCTTTCATAATTGATATAATATATAATCATAGCTTATTTTGATAGTAGGTAGAATTATGGTCTTTCTGAAGATATCTGGCTATTGCTTCCCCATGAAAACCATTATATTTTCTACAGAGGTAATATGTGGCTGGAGACATTGCCTCTTATTAAGAATGAAAAAGCTCTGTTTACAATAGCCAGGACATGGAAGCAACCTAGATGTCCATCGGCAGACGAATGGATAAGAAAGCTGTGGTACATATACACAATGGAATATTACTCAGCCATTAAAAAGAATGCATTTGAATCAGTTCTAGTGAGGTGGATGAAACTGGAGCCTATTATACAGAGCGAAGTAAGTCAGAAAGAAAAACACCAATATAGTATATTAATGCATATATATGGAATTTAGAAAGATGGTAATGATGACCCTATATGTGAGACAGCAAAATAGACACAGATGTAAAGGACAGACTTTTGAACTCTGTGGGAGAAGGAGAGGGTGGGATGACTTGAGAGAATAGCATTGAAACATGTATATTATCATATGTGAAACAGATCACCAGTCCAGGTTCAATGCATGAGACAGGGTGCTCAGGGCTGGTGCACTGGGATGACCCAGAGGGATGGGATTGGGAGGGAGGTGGGAGGGAATCACCCATGGCTGATTCATGTGAGTGTATGGCAAAAACCACCACAATATTGTAAAGTAATTAGCCTCTAATTAAAATAAGTAAAAATTTTAAAAATGGTACTAAAAAAAACAAAAACAAACAAAAAAAGAATGAAAAAGACAAACTCCTCCATTGTTTCCAGACTGATACTTGCTAATACCATAATTATTTTTAAAGTGCAAACTGAGCTATGTATTGACTTGAAAGTGGAACTGAAGAAGACATTCCAATCTTATATGCAGTGAATATAATACATGACTCTAGAACTTGCCTAGATGTGCAACTGTTTATTAAAACATAATTGAACACTAGTTATTTAGTATCAACTTCTGGCTCTGTGCTTGTAATCCTAAAGATATCATCTAGATTCTTCTTGTCAGTCCCATAGACAATGAGCTTGGTCTTAGTCCAGGCTTTCTCATAAGTATCATCTGAAATATTCTGTTACAGGAAACAATTACTGACTTATAAATAGTCTCACCAAAAAACTGTTATACCAAGCATACCATATTGCCAGTGATACTTTTGTGGTCTCATGGAAATGTGAGATCATTTTCACCTATGTAGATACTTCCATCTAATGAGGCTTTGGCTTCTCTATGTTCTGAAGGACGGCTAGGAGATACCAGGCAGTTTGAGGATGTCTCCTGGCAGGCCTAAACTAGATTCTGTGCTTGCTGGATTATCCTCAAGTCCTATTACAAATCAGACCCAATTTTGTGAGTCACTCTAGGATAACCCAGACTGCTGTGAACTTGAGGGAATCTTTGGGAACAAATTTCATCATTAAATTAAAAGACTAACATCAAAATTTGGTGTTTTGCCAACAGCTAAGTCAAGAAGATTTTCTTTGATTTATAAGGGCTGAGGAATTGCAAAATGATGGGAAAATGCAAAAAAAAAAATTACTGGTATGAAAGTAGAAGACAATATGTTTTCTTTGATTATTATTTAGTTCTGTCTAATATTACACTCTAGCCATCCTTTTCTATTTCATGCCTTTAAAGATGAGGTAGGTTTGGAATCACTTAACTAAGGATAATCCTTAAGACAACATCAGGCTATCTGCCTTTCAAATCACTAGGGTAGGGCAAAAGGAAGATACCTCAATGTCTTCATCAGTTAGTGATACTCAATCCAAAACCATACTGGAATTTGCTACTCCATAAGAGGCAGTGGTACACAGACACACAAGTTTGTATGGTATAGAACAGAGCACATATGCACAAAATGGTGTTGAGAAAGATGTCCAGGAATCTCTTCATCTCTATTCTTCTATGACGAGACTCAATTATACTTTTAATAAATAAGTACAGTAAATCAAACATTCATAGTTCTAATAATCTGAATCTTAAAATTTGAATTTCATGTTAAAAATGATAATAAACCATGATTAAATATTTTAATATTTTAGCAATTTGAGAAGCTTTTTGTGTTTAATTTCATTTGGTCTAGCCCTTTTTTATATCTTCAAGAGTAATTAAAAAAAAACAAAACACAAAACCTGACCAAACCCTTTTCTGGAACAGCACTTTTCCACAATTACTTTTTCTCAAGGAGGACTAAAACTGATCTTGACATTTACAATATTAGGAGTCAGAGACTACAAAGCAATGAATGTTTCATTTGGCCTACAGCTCTTTGCTCCTGTCCATAGTCTTCTCCTCTGGCTCCTGCCCTCACTTTGTGTGGTTTTATGCACATGCTCACATCCACGCACACGGAATGGGGAGAAGGTACAGCGGAAGACACGCCAAGGTGGTAAGAATGTGAAAGAGGAAAGAGAAATAGAACGTGCTCCTAAAGCAGAGATTCTTACAAGCAGGGGTTCTTGTAGTAAAGGGAGTCTCCTTACTGTCATCTAAAAAGTCTTCTTCCTCATCCTCCTTTCTCAGTCTCCTCTTGGTCTCCTCATCATAAATGAGACCCAGCAGGTTGGCTGGACTCTCACTTTCCCCATGACACAGCTCATTCAACCGGACGCCGATTGCCTACCATGCACAGAAACAGAATGAAACAGCGTGAGGTGTGTGTCAGACTGTAAAAGAGGCTCTCACATTGCTGAGGTCGTCAGCCATCAGCTCATGGGGACTGCTTTCAGCATAAGCGTCCTCTGTTTGCCATAGTGTTGTTACCACCACATTTCCCAACATGGGAATCCAGAGAAGGAAGCACTAAAGCTGGCTCCAAGGTCATTCAGCCTAAAGACTTATAGGACCTGGAATGGTATTTATTCTCACACAAAACTTTTCTGAAATTATTTTTATTTCCTCAAAGGTCATTTACTTTATAGATCTCACATAAGAGAGTATGCAGTTGTATTTTCTTTTAACTATTTTTATTTATTTAAAAAGGTTTTTTTTTTTTTTGGCCATGCCGCATGACACCTGGGATCTTAGTTCCCCAGTTCAGTTCAGTTGCTCAGTCGTGTCTGACTCTTTGCACCTCCATGGACTGCAGCATGCCAGGCCTCCCTGTCCATGACCAACACCTGAAGCTTGCTCAAACTCATGTCTATTGAGTTGGTGATGCCATCCAACCATCCCATCCTCTGTTGTCCCCTTCTCCTACCATCTTCAATCTTCCCCAGCATCAGGGGCTTTTACTATGAATCAGTTCTTCACATCAGGTGGCCAAAGTATTGGAGTTTCAGCTTCAGCATCAGTCCTTCCAGTGGATATTCAGGACTGATTTCCTTTAGGATGGACTGATTGGATCTCTTTGCAGTCCAAGGGACTCTCAAGGGTCTTTTCCAACACCACAGTTCAAAAGCATCAATTCTTTGGCACTCAGCTTTCTTTATGGTCCAATTCTCACACCCATACATGACTACTGGAAAAACCATAGCTTTGACTAGACAGACCTTTGTTGGTAAAGTAATATCTCTGCTTCTTAATATGCTGCTTAGGTTGGTCACAGATTTTCTTCCAAGTAGCAAGAATCTTTTAATTTCATGGCTGGAGTCACCATCTGCAGTGATTTTGGAGCCCCCAAAAATAAAGTCTCTCACTGTTTCCATTGTTTCCCCATCTAACCCATGCTTCCTGCATTGGAAATGCAGAGAATTAACCATTGGACCATCAGGGAAGTCCTAGATAGTTGTTTTTAATGGAGGATTTTGCTCCAGCAAAAAATAAGAAGTCACATTTCCTCAGAATGTTTCTGATCATGCAATTTTATGAGGAGAGCACTGTCATGCTAATGAGTTTGGAGGCTGGCATGACTTCTACAACTGCAATTTTATTTGTATCTTTCATCATATATGCAATCAATGATTTTCTTACAAACTTTGTTTCCCCTTCATGATATGCTATGGACTAGAAAGAAATATTAACTATTCTTTTGAAATATTAACTATTCTTTTGATAGTGTACTGAACATCAACATTAGAAACATGACTTTTACCTCAACACATAAACAACATTGGCTTTTATAAGGTATTCACAAAATCAGTGCTTACTATCTGTTCTGAATCATCGTGTACTAACATCTGATTTAAAAAAAGGAAATTCCCCCAAAGAGACAAAATATGCTACCTCTAATTCCTTTCACATTCCAATTACATATTGTATAGAATAAAGGAAGAGACACATACATAGCAAAGAGAGTTGAAAAGCTAAAATGAGCACTGCACTTGGTCTGACAGTTTGAGTAATCCGTGCATTGGTAAGAACAAAATTCCAGCTAATTTTCTTCTTTCCTCCTGCATTATCCTTTTCAAATATTTAGAAAAACGACTAAATTCTGGGCATGTAAGAGATTAGATCTGCTGTTGGAAAGTGACAAAAATATGTCTGTGTGTGCATGTGCATGCTGTCGCATTTGACACTTAGCGACCCTATGAACAACAGCATGTCAGGCTCCTCTGTCGATGGAATTTTCCAGGTAAGAATACTGGAGCAGGTTGCCATTTCCTACTTCAGGGAATCTTCCTGACCCAGGGATTGAACCCATATTTCCTGTGTCTCCTGCATTGGCAGGTGGTTTCCTTACCACTGAACCACCTGGGAAGCTCAAAAGATATGTGTAGAGCTCTTCAAATAAAAATCATGTTGTTTGAACATCTTGGTTATTTGAAAACAAAGGGGTCTCCTTAAACTCTGGAATTGAGGAGTAACAAAAACCACATCAAGACAAAAGAAATGCAGCTTGGTTGCTAACTTGAGAAGTTCTAAGCAAACAAAACAAAACACGAAAGCAAAAACTACCACCTCAACAGAAAGCCTTGTCCTGATGCTCTCTAAAGAAGTGTTAGGTGGTTAGAATAGGAAAAAGGAGTCCAGAATGGCAGTGGCTAAAAGACAAAGAGGGAAAAGCCCACGAAAAGACAACAAAGTTAGGTCTGAGGACTGGAGTGAGGACCTCAGGTAAAACAAACAGTACTCCTGGCTAGCCCAATTTACATAGGGCAGGCCCAGGGGGAGGCGGAAAAAACATATAAAAAGAGGAACCAAAATTGAGCTGGGGGCTTCTCTTCTGTTTGAGTCTTCCGGGTCGACACCCCCTCTCACACCTCAAGGGTGTATTTTCCTTTGCTTTCTAAATAAAACTGAGCTGTAACACGAAGCTGTAACACTGGTCTGTCCATCGCTTCAAATTTTTGCTGTGACCGAGGAAATTTACATGGGGCTATAACACTGGTCTGTCCATCACTTCAAATTTTTGCTGCAGCGAGAAAGAACCGAGGAAATTACACACTCCCCCGACAGAAGGACACGAGGAATTATGAGTCTGAGTGGAGCCAGCAGACTTAATAATGACAGTCAAAGGGGGAAAAAAATCTACATTGATCTCCCCCAGATTCTGAAACCAAGCAATTTAAGTTAAACCCACAGTTCACAAAACTTAGAAGGTCTCTCAAAAAATGAACTTGCTTTGGATAATATAAAGTATCTAAATAATAATTTAGAGCTCTACATCTCAAAGTGCTTTAGGGAGATGTTTATTCATTCTTCATTCATCAAATATTTATTAGGTGAGGTAATTTGCTAATTACTAAAGAAAACATAAAGTTGAATAAACTGTTATGGTGCATCAGTATCTTTATTTAATATGCCTGAGTATATTATAAACTTTCATAAAAGAAGTATCACTGTTTGGCAATGAGAAAAGTTAGAAAGCTTGAAAAAACCTGCTCAAGGTCACTCAACACCCTGAACTGGCATTCAAACATAGGGTGTCTGACTTTATCTCTTGCTCTTCACCTTGAGGAGCTTACAGTCTATAGGGGAGGTAGTAACATATGAAAAAAGGACATTAAGTGGTGAAAGAGAATGAAATTACCTTATGTATTAGAAAATGAAGACATTAGATTAATTTCAGAGAATCATACAAAGTCTCATTCCTGTAGATTCTCAAGAACTGGTGTTAGGCTAATGGGGAAGGGAAAAGTGGATATTTCAGATGGAGAATTCCCAAAGACCCATATTCAGGGACATGCACTGATGTGTTCAGAGACTATCAACTAAGCCACTTGGTTGAAGCACCATTTTGTGAGCAGAAATAATGTGCCCGAGGGCTTAGAAAGGTAAATTGGGACCAGATTCCACAGTTCTTGAAGCTGTTTTTCATTTTGCATTCTGAAGAAGGATGAAAGGCAGTTTTTGAGCGGGGGAGAAGCCTTACCACTCCTTCCAGGGACACTGTGCTAGCTGTCTAAAAATGCAGAGACAAACCATATACCCTGCTTTCAAAATTTAGTATCATAACTTATCACTGAACACCTCTTAGATGTAAAGGATTGAGATAAATGTCCTTTAGATACATCAGCTCATTGACTTCATCATCTATAATTGGTGTGATTTGAACAAAGATTGTGGGAAGAGCTGAGATGCCAGGCTGAGCAATTTGGGTTTTTATCCCAAGGGAAAAGGAGGGCCACTGAAGCACTATAACATGATTTGCATTTTAGCCTAATCATTCTGACAGCAATTTGGAGGATGAATTGGAAGGAGAGAGTCTGGAGGCTGGGAGATGAGATATGAATGTTCTGCTTTTAGACGGGCTATGCCAAAGGGAGATTTTATTGGCAGTGTGTAGGATGGGTCAGAGAGGGGAAATTGTGGGAGGAAACCAAATAGGAAAATACTTTAGTCACACAGTTGAAAAGTAATGAAGATCTGACCTCAAAGGGCATCAGTGACATGGAAGAGGTGGAATCAATAAGGGAAGGAGGTTGAGAATATGTTCAAAGGCTGCCATTTCAGATGATGGTAGTTCCATCAGAAAAAATAGAAATTTCAAGAGGGGTTACAGATGGGGGTGTGTTTAAATGGAGAGAAGTGTTTTAGTTTGGTCAGATTTAGTCTCAGAACATTAAGTGAATGCCTCCAAAGTACAGTTGGTGAAGTTGGTCAGGGATCTGAAAAGTGCTATGGATAGAGAACTGGGTGCTTCTGGCATAGAGCTAACAGTAGAAAACACAGGAATAAATGTAATCCTGGTGGGGATTTTACAGGAAGAACTGATAAGAGGTGCTGAGAATGTTTACATTTACAGGGAGGAAAGAGGCAGAGGATCAGGAAGGAAGACATAAGAGATAATAATGTCTAACTTTGTAGATTTATTTGGAAGATTAAATGAATTATTTCCCCCTGAAATGTTTTGTTCAGTGCTTGGTACATAACAGATACTCAAATTATCTCCCAAACAAATGAACAAACAGAAGTTCAAAACGTCTTCTCTTCACTCGGCCTAATATTTATAGAAGAAAATCAAAAGCTCACGTCTCCCCACTGGTAGAAGAGTTTGGCAGCATTCCATTGCAGCTTCTGGTTCCGCTTGTTGCCCACGATGGGGGACCGTCCCCTGGAAAGGCCTTTCTTAGTGATGTTCACGTGATGCCCTTTCATCCACTCTGGCCAGTTGCCACGGTTGCAGCGGTGCACAAATCGGGCACATTCCAGGAACAATGCTGCTCTGGCCACCACCGGCGCTTCCTGCGTAGGGTTGATAAGGTAAGAGTAATGTGGGATTAACAAACAATGAACCTGACCTTAAAGCGAATGCCTATGTACTCTTAGTTTATTTTTGCCTTTGTCTTTTGATTTGGTTTAGCCGTATTTCCCCTATGGCTCAGCAGTAAGGAATCCACTTGCAATGCAGGAGCCACAGGAGACCTGGGTTTCATCCTGAAGTCAGGAAGATCCCCTGGAGAAGGAAATGACAACCCACTCCAGTATTCCTGCCTGGAGAATCCCATGGACAGAGGAGCCTGGTGGGCTACAGTCCCCAGGGTCGCAAAAAGTCAGACATAACTGAGCGACTTAGCAGCAGCAGTGATATTTCCCAGGGTAGTGTTAACATGGTTACAGAAGTAGTGGGAACTCTGGAAAATGAATCCATGAAGGCAAATTTGAGTATTGAATAATGAGACATTTTAAGTTGGTTTCTGCATGTAGTTTTCTCCTCATGGAGAATCTTAAGTAATTCCATGACTCTATCTTTGCATATTTCAGAGACAGTGGGGATTTGAGTGTGAAATCACTTTTAATAAGGAGGTTTTAAATATGAAGCTTTTTAAAACCTAAAATTAGCATGATGCAAACATATATTCAATTTCTAGAACTAGATGTAGATTAACCAAGGATGTCAGTTTTTTAGGACCATCCACAAACTCCAAGGACATGCAACTGCTCTCTCACTTTGGCTAATAAAAAAAAGGAGAGCTTACTATATCAGGATGAGTTGTGAGGGTAAACAGAATAAAATGGGGCCTGAAATGAGAAAAAAAAACAAATGAATGAATGAATAAATAAACTCAGTTGAGTTAGGCTCTTTCTCTAATTTTTCATAAACAACAGATCAAATTCTGCTTAAATAGGCATGGTTTCAATTGAAAATGTTTGACAAAGAGGAAATTACTTAATTGATAAATGAAAAACAGCATTTCTCCAGGAAAATAAAAATCTGACTCCATCTTGTCAAGATGTGCTTGAAAAATAAAAGCAAGAGCTTTTTGTTAATACTCATAAACTTATAAGAGTAAGAGACCTACTCTTTAGAAGCCAAGAAAAATTTAATATGGGAAAGAATGTGAAGTTTCCCATAGGTCAACAGGTCACAAAAAAATACATACATCAAACATTCACTTGTGTCAGTTAAAAAATATATATAACAATATTCGCTATCATCTTGAAAGTGGAAGTTGCTCAGTCATGTCTGATTCTTTGCAACCCCATGGACTATACAGTCCATGGAATTCTCCAGGTCTGAATACTGTAGTGGGTAGCCTTTCCCTTCTCCAGGGGATCTTCCCAACCCAGGGATCAAACCCAGGTCTCCCACACTGCAGGCAGATTCTTTATTAGCTAAGCCACAAGGGAAGCTCAAGAATACTAGAGTGGGTAGCCTATCCCTTCTCCATGGATCTTCCTGACCCAGGAGTTGAACTGGGGTCTCCTACATTGCAGGTGGATTCTTTATCAGCTGAGCTATCAGGAGGAAGCCCTTGCTGTCATCTTAGAGTTACCTAATGAATCCCATGTCCCATGTCCCATGTGTTTTCAAATGGAAACAGTTTTCATGATTCAAGTAATAGCATTCTTAACAATGCTTCAATCTATAATGTCAAAATAGGTGCTAATATATAGAGAATATCAATTATGTTCCAACTAGTTTTTATAAATTGTAATTCTTAATTATCATAACATCCCTGTGGAATAATATCCTCATTTTAATATTTTTTAATACGAGGTATAAATTTTTCCACTCTTATGCAGCTGGGAAGAAGCAGACGATTCATTCTCAGGTCTCTCTGATGCTCAGATCTGTAACTCTTTGGTATCTGCAAGGTCTTAATTCATGCTCATATACACCTGGGGAAAAGATGATTTCTAGCATGCATGTAGAAAGTTACTGTTTAAAAATGGAACATTAATATCATGTAAAACATAAGTAATCACATAATTTTCCCATTTAAAATATATTTTATGGTCCATCCATCTAACTCATCAATGAATAAAGGCAACTGACCTTTGTTGTTTGGTTCATTTCTCTCTCTGTCCTCACCTCAAGTGCTCTGTGATCCACTTATGTCAAACTGGTTAGTCTCCCAGATAAGACATCTCATACCTTTCCGTGTGTTGTTTCCATCACTTGCAGAGCCTTTAAGCCCCTTTTCTATCTAGCAGATTCCCACTTGTAAGCTTCAGTGTAGTTACCTCCTCTAAGAAGATTTCCTTAATCCCTTCCTCTTCAGGCAGAGGCAGTTACTTCACACTGTCAGGTAAACACACTATCTCAAATACCCTGGATGTTTCAAGCAAGTTAGCCCTTTAAGCATTTTCCCATTGTTTACAACTTAAATGAAACTATCAAGAATCCTAGTAAGAAATTTAATTATGTTGGGATGTAATTTTACAAAAAATATGACATATTGCCATTGAAGATAAAGTTAATCTATGTGAAAAGACAGAATAGAAGATAAACACAATGATGAGCATCTATCATTAATAAAAGATGGACAGTGATGATGAGAAACTACCCTCAACTTTATTGGTGCCAAGACTTGATAGCAGGTCAGAAGGATAGAAAGACTTTAGAATGCAAAGGCTCAGATGAATTTCTGCATTAAACTTATCGTTACCATGGTGCCATAACACCCCAACTAAATATCTATACTCTTTCCTTGCATTAAATATTCAGTTTACTAAAGATTTCAGATATGCTAATCTGCATTTGGAAAAGCCTGGAACATCTATCTCTAAAAAGGAACTCCAGTCTGGAAGACAAGGCAAGTGATGCAAATCTATTCTTATCATGTCACATTTTGACACATTTCCAATATAAAGCAATGAGATTCATTGCTTAATGACAAGAGGACAGAAACAACACTGGTGGAATACCATTAGGTGATGAACTTTAGCTCTTTCATGATTAATGAGCATAAAAACTTAACCTAACTCGTATGGGGCAGAGTTTGTTTTTCTTATATATGTATTTCTTTTAACTATTAAATGGCACTGAGAAGACTAACAGAAGATGAATAAAAAAACCCAGGCTGTGCTATGTAAGGCTTCCCATGTCAGTTGGCTTGGCTTCTTTAGAAAATGTTTTATTTGCTTAGGAAAGTCAAGGCATTTTGAATGAAAAACAATTTTAATTCTCTGTTCTCAAAAGCTTCTTATGATAAAACCCAGACATTATCAGTTATTGACCCTAAGAAATCCTACTTTAAGTTGGGAAATAGAACTGAGACCACTATCAAAATAATTCCCATTAATTAACTATATAGCACAACATTAAAGGGAAGGTTAGTTATTATGGATAAATTTAATTCACGTAAATTGTCAAACTCAGTAACTTTTGGAAATGTCACTCTCTGCATTAAGGGATGATGACATAGAGTAACTCAAATATTGACTTCTTATTATAAACCTCACGAATCTTGTAGGTGAAAGCAGACTTGGGGATCGTATAGTCAAGAGGACCCTGAGTACTAACAATTTCTGTGGTACTGTAGTGTGTATGTTACTATCTGGACAATGGAGGGTGCTGTTGTAGTATAAAGCTCAGGACTCAACTGTACGTCCTCATAGAACATCCTTGGCAACAAGAACCGGCTTCACAGTGTGTGAAGGAGTAGTCAGGGCATTATATATGTGGCCAGAAGGAATTATTTTCCTTACTAAATTCCTTTCAAAGTGTAAGTTAGAAAGTATTGATTTGAGGAGCAGGGTTACGGAATACCTTAGACAAAGGATTCTTCCTGGACATAAAGGAAATTCAGTTTTCCCTCTTTTGATGGAACTTGCCTCTTAATGGCTCAGAGCTATCTGATGAAGCAGCAAAACAATGGAGACATGACAGAATGGGTAGGGATGGACTCACATCACAGAGAAAAACAGCACAAATGGAGAAAAATGAATCAGAAGAAGGCTGCTTGGATGAAGAGAACCATGGAGTTTCAGAGACATAGTTAAAACTGAACATCACAACAAACTTTGGTACCGTTGATATACCACAGAAAATTTTGCTGGTGGTCCTAAAAGAAAAGTAGGCAGATTTAAATTCTTTCTGATTAACATGACTGCTAGATCACCTTTCTATTCTATGTTCCATAATGCCACAGAGCAGCTTCAGTTCCATTATGTCATAACTTCGCAGTTCCCGGATAAGCAAGAAGCAATTTGAACTGGTGAGATGAAATGTTAGGTTGAACTTCATGGAATTTCTAAGTTTGATGGTCAAATATAGTAGCATACCATCAATTCAATATGGTTTGGTTGTACATAAGGTGTTCTCTGCAATGGTTACAGAGCTGTTTATTTAAAATGACAAAACATCATGCATTATGCAGTATTTCTCTAACATTTTTCAGCTAGAAAACTTCAAGTATCAGGCTATTTTCCCTTGACTTCTTTTGGCACTTTTTCCTGCATTTGATAAGATCGTTATGTATTTTGAATGTTTCCTTTGTGAAGGTAAAGCAGAGAACTAGAATACTAATTCAAACAGCTGTACTTTATTTTGCCTGGGGACGTAGAAAATATTGTTACCAAGATATGACGGTTAATTGAAGGTTATAATTACAACACATTCCTTACCCTGAAAGACTGTATCTAAACTCATTAAGTAAGAAGAAACCCTGATTGATCCTGGAAAAATAACAACACAGGTCAGGAACTGTTGTAAAGACAATAGTTTATGTTGGTCCCTGGGGAATTACATAATATTTTTATTGCCTTACAAAAAAATGTAAAGCTCTTGCTGGTGTAAGATACCTATTTATTTAAGACCACTGGGAAAAAGCAGTTATTCTGGGTCTTTTTGTACACTGGAACCTTGTTTGCTAGAGGGCACCTGCTTGTGAGCCAGTATTTATTACTTAGCTTGTATTCAGTCCTCTGCCCGAGATCATTAAGTAACTGACAGGCTGCCTCTGTCCCTGCGCATTTCTGCAGTAGCTGCAGGCAACTGAAATGATTCAGTGTCAGGC